ACTTTAACTAATAAAGTTAAAGTTAAAGTGACACCCCTACGATGAATATAATACTCACACCCATACTCTGAGCATTAGTGTCTTCTTACTCAATATTGTTGGTTGATTTTAGTTTAAAAAATTCATATATTCTTTTAATGAGTTCTATCTTTGCGCTAAATTCAACAAAGATAACGAAATCATGGAGTAATGATTATAAATATGAAAAAAATACGACACTAAAAGAAGGAGAAAGATGAAAAACAACGGTGATAACAATATATGTTGTTTTTCTTTCTTTACTGCAGTCTCTTTTAGTTTATTATTGACTCAGTTACAATTATATGGCAAGTAAAGCTAGTTTAGAATCGTTGGCTAACGAATTGTTACTTGATTTATTTGAGTTTCTGAGCACTGTTCATGTTTTTCATGCATTTTTTGGGCTCAATACACGTTTTGATACTCTGCTTCTCAACCGTTTTTCTGCATATCGTCTGGATTTTCGATCTATATCAAAAACCGATTTTGATGCGATTTGTCGAAATCATCTTCCGTCGATTATTGATCGAGTAATCTCGCTGAGATTATCAGACAACAATTATACCCCACATCAAACTAATCTTTTCTTCACTCATGGTTTTCTTCTTCGTCAATTTTCATCTTTACGATCAATTTCTTTGTGTCATCTTCGTTCTGAAAAGATCCTAAATAGCATAGTTGTTGAACTATGTCACCTTCCATATCTTATTCATCTCAACTTCAATGCATGCTTTATTTCATCCGATCAAGATAATGCTGGACGTATTGTTAATCATATTTGGAATCTACCAAAATTAACGCATTGCCATTTAGGTATCAATTATGCTTATGAGGGATACGTTCCTGCTCCTTCAGTTACCTCGGTATCTCTCGAATATCTTACTGTTGAATATGCTGATTGTAACCTGAATGAATTCGATCATCTGTTGCAATACACACCTCGCCTTCGATATCTGTCAATTAAACTTGATGATAGAACGAGTGATTCAGAGCTCATATCTTCGAATATAGCAATTACTAAAATAAATCTTTCACTGAAAAGCTCAATAAATCTATTGCAGAACCTTTTTCAACATCTACTCAATTTATGTCACTTGAAAATCGAAACATGGGATATATCTATTAGTGGATCCCAATGGGAACGAATAATTACTACATATTTACCAAAACTTAAAATATTTCAATTAAAAATGAGAAATGAAGTTCGTGATAATGAACCACTAGAGAATCAAATAAATGAATTACTTGATTCATTTCGAACTCGATTTTGGCTTGTTGAACATAAATGGTTTGTTCGATGTTATGGACAATCACAAAATGATATTAATTACAGTTTTCTATATACTCTACCCTATGCTTTCAAACATTTTTATGCTCATAGTCCTTATATTTCATTGAAATCGACTGCTCCTAGTGATAATGATTATTGGGCATATGATTGTGTGAATTATCTGAGTTATGAGCCTCACCTGTTTGCAGACCTAGCTATGTCTCAAATTCATTTTCCTAATATCCATAAACTTTCTATATCGCTTCCGTTTGATGATCGATTTTTAACAATTATCTCAAAATTCGACCATCTGCTATCAATGTATGTGAAAGTTGAGGATGATAATGATAGTGTGATACCACAGTTACAACTCTTACTCGATCAAGCACCACGTCTACATTCATTAGTTTTTGGTCCCTGGATGACATCATTTTCACAAGTACCACCAATCGAAAATACAAGTGCATCGGTTTATGAATTGAATTTGCAGGGATATGCCGATCGTGATCATTTGCGTTGCTTCGACGCTCATCAATGTACTACGCTAAGTCGTTCACCACTAGGTGTTCAATGTAAAATGCTTCACATTAAAGTCCTTAATCGAACAAATATACTTTATCTTGTAAATACGATGTCAAATCTTCAAGCTTTGAATGTTCACTGTGAAGATGATAATTGGAACGAGGAAGAGGATCTTTCGACAGAAGATGAACTTCTAGAATGGTTGAGACAGCATTTACCATCAACATGCACAATCACCAGAGATACATATTACGTTCATGATATTCTATTGTGGATTCGTTAAAGTTGATTATTTATTTATTTTTGACAAGCAATAGAAATTATAATAGAACTAAAATTGCTTTTCATATATTAAATCGAACTATCCAACGACGAATTTCCTCTTTATGCTCAAATTGAACGTTTTGTGCTTGCCAAAACCTTGTTGAGAAAGTATTCTGCAGTTCAGTAAATATCGACGGAGGATTAATATGCCATTGATCAGAACAAAAAACTATTTCCAATATTCGTAGTTTAGAACATTTTACAACTAATAACCTTTCCCATTTGATTCCATTAATAAGCTCAATGCTACATGTGAGTTTCAATCGATTTACATTTGGAACTTGTTGCAGTAAAAACTCAACATCTTCAAAAGTCCATTGTTCGTCTAGCTGTACATTTAAGTGAAGACAGTTCAACAAAGTAGAGTTTAATGCTGGTATTGTTATTATTACTGGTTCATAGAAATCCGTATATAACCAATTTGTTTTAATCGATTTAATGTGTGGTATATGAATCAATAGTTGAACAAGTTCGTCACGATTAAGAGACGGTAGAGTTAACAATTCTAGTTTTGTCCGCTTCTTTATTGCTGGTAATGAGAGCATATGAGAATTTTTAATACTTTGAAAAACAAAGTGTTTAAGAGAATGAAAACCATCATTCTCAACGAAGATTAATTCTAGCAATCGTTTCAAATACTGATCACGTTGAGTGATGGATCCCACTTGAATATATAAACGCTCAAAATGTGGCAAAGTTGACAGTTGTTCTATGAGTACAAGTGAACAATCGCTCATCATTGCACCAGAATAGACGAGTGAAAGACATCGTAGTTGGCTGAATGTATTAATCGGCCAATGAGTAAAGAATTCTTCAATTTGATATTCTTCGTAGAATTTGAATGATTTGACATTCGCACGATTGTTAACTGCTGGAAGAATCACATAAGACGAGAAATCATAACTTTCCGTTGTTGCAATCTTGAAATACAATGGAGTACTTTCAGAAAGTATTGAAGTTATTTTTGAGTTTAAATCGTCAAATATACGATAGAGTTCAATTGCATCAAAGAATTGAAAGACTTCACACCATAACTCAGTTGGAAAATTCTCAATTGTGCTAGGAGAATCGATTTCTGACATTCTCTGTATACAAAATCTAAAATAAATTAAGTGAAAGAAAAATATTTTGTAGAAGCACTTTTTTATAAATATCAAACATGTCTGAATGAGAACGCAAGTTTCGACATGACGATGTGTTATTAACGCTCTTACTCAACTCGTCACAGAATAAAAAAGAAAAAGAAAAAAAATCTTATCGATGCAATACCATTACCCCTAGTGTAAATATTTGTTTAGCTGCATCCCTTAAAAGAAAAACAGAAGAAAGGATACATAAACCTATAATCGACGCGTTTATCGGCTGCTAAACCTCTGCAAAAAGTTTATAATTTATCAAAATATACGATTAATTATCGTAATCGATTAGATTTTTTTAACCCTCTAAAAAGCCTAATAAGAATAGTGTTATTTGTCAAAGCAGTAAGAGATGCTTACTATTTGTTACTTTTTCTTTACGAGTATTTACAATATACTAGATAAGATAGTAGGTATCCACTATGTAGGTAAAGTATAAAAACAAATGTGTTTTTAGGCATTTTCATATAGTTCTTCGGGTTTTATTTTGTTGAAGGTTTGTTCTTAGGTAGATACATAGACCTTTTTGTCTTAAATACGACTCACACTCATCGTTACTATGTTCCAACGTACTTTCTTACAATTTTTCATTTGATTTCAAATTTAAAAGTTAAGATAGATTATTATTGTATACATAATTCTAGAAAGTTCAACGTCTTTTACAACAACGAACAAGAAATAAGAAGCACGATGTCACAAGCAAATAACAATTTCGATTTCAGTATATTTTGTTTACTTGATACTTGTATTAATATGGAAGAAAATATAGATATTCAACAAAAACTTCTTCTCTTGAATCATAATTTAGAAATATTTAAAGAACTCGATCAATGTGAACAACATATTCAATCTATTTCTTCAAGCAATAAACTTATTCTAATCGTTAGCGATGATGTCGGCCAACAACTAATACCACAAATTCATCAACTTTCGCAAGTTTATTCAATTTATATTTATTGTCATGAACAAGAATTTAATCAACATTGGACTCAACAATATAACAAGGTAATTCATTAAATCAAATAAACTTATATGTTTTTTGTTACTTTTAGGTGAGAGGCATTTATTATGAAATTGATCAATTGATTGCATCTATAAAATGTAATGAAGTAGGAAGAATGATGAATACTGTAGATGAACCACTTTCTATGAGTATTTCCAATACAAATAAAAATTGTGATCAGACAACAAGTGATCTTGATGGTCGATTTGTTCATTCACAATTACTCATCGATTGTCTTCTACGAATGGAACCAATGTTAACAGATAAGAATGAATTTATTTCTTTTTCTTTAAATGAATATCATGATAATGAAGATATGTTAAAGATTATTAAAGAATTCGAAGATGAATATTCATCAGATCGAGCAATATGGTGGTATACAAGAGAAACATTTATCTATCGATTATTAAATAAAAGTCTTCGTATTCAAAATATTGATTTATTATTTTGTCTTCGATTTTTAATTCGTGATATTGAACAACAACTTCAACAATATAAATGTTCATCGCCTTTAATTGTTTATCGTGGTCAATTAATATCTAGTGAAGAACTTGAATTATTAAAACAATCGAAAGGCACATTAATTTCAATGAATTCTTTTTTATCGACTAGTCTTAATCGTAGTACGGCTCTTGAATTTCTTAATACGAATATAAATGATAATAAATTACAACGAATATTATTTGAAATCAATGCTGATCCATGTCGAGATGGTATGAAACCATTTGCTAATATTTCATCATTTAGTTATTTTCCTACAGAAGACGAAATATTAATGATGTTAGGATCCGTTTTTCGAATAAATAATATCTATCTTGATGAAAATCAAATATGGATAATGAATATAACTCTTTGTAGTGATAATGATCATGATTTAAAATCAGTTGTTCATTCGATGAAAAATCAATATGGTTCCGAGCAAACTAGACTTCTTTTATTTGGACATGTACTTGTTGATATGGCTCATTTTGATGATGCAGAAAAATATTATCATCGATTACTCAAAGATTTACCATCTGATGATAATGATATTTGTAATTGTTATCATGCATTAGGTAAAGTTGCTTGTGAAAAAGGTGATTATGATTTAAGTCTTAGTTGGTTATTTAAATCATTGGAAATCTTAGAACGAAAACTAAAGAAAAATCATTCACGAATTGGTTTTATTCATACAAGTATCGGAGAAGTTTATCAAAATAAAGGTGATACGAAACAAGCATTACATTCATATGAAAAAGCATTGAAAATTTGGGTAAAAGCATATAATGATAAACATGAATATGTTGCTTGGTGTTTTAATAATATTGCAAATATCTTTACTATGGAAAAGAAATATTCGGAAGCACTTGAATATCATAAAAAAGCATTAGAGATTAAAGAAAAAATTCTTCCATCATCACATCCTTGTTTAGGTAATGCATATCTTAATATCGGTAATGTTTATTATTATATGGGTCAATATAATGAAGCATTGAAGAATTATGAATTGTCAAAGAAGATCTATGAAGCTTCTCTTACTCCTCGACATCCTTCACTTGCACGTGCATTGAAAAATATTGGACTTATTTATCAAATTAAAGGTGACTTTTCTGAAGCTATGAAGTATTATAAAAGAACATATTTTATTCGTGAAAACTGTTTTTCTTCATCACATCCAGATGTAATTGATATTAAACAAGATATTGAACGTATATCAAATAAATAGAATTTCCTTATGTGATCAACTAATATATATGAGTAAATTGCAACTTTTAGGTACAATCAACGCAAAAAAATGAAAGTGGACCTAAGTAACCTTTGAGTAGTGCATTTTGTTATACTCTATGCCTGTATTATGCACAGAAATTTTCCTAGCACTTTACTGTATAATATGGGAGATATGCAATACATAAGTCATTTTCTACTAAACTCAATATAAAATGTGTATTTTATAGCATAGACATTTGAGTTATTTAATCAGTTTTCGAAGAGAAACCAGTAGCTGGTAGTAATGGTGAAATAGTAACAGTTAAAGTCAATCTTTTATGAAATTATATTCTATAATTACTTCCTCTCACGCAAATAATGATAGATGAAAGTTGAAGTTCTTCGTTCTTTTTTCTTCCTTTCTATTGCCAAACGCATATCATGCACATGTTAATGACATCATCTTCTGTCAATTGATGTGAAATAAGAGTGGGTGTGGGTGTGGATGAGTTAAGAGTAGAGATACCCTCACCCATACTCCTATCCACACCCATCCTCAAGGTAGTTTTAAAAACCAGAAAAATGAAATTGTATAGTTTTCAGTAGTTTTATTATACAAAAAGAACAGCATCAAGATAAAACTGTGTTTAATAATTTTTATATAATCGATAGATTTGTTTAGTGATATTCTTGGCTGAATTTTACCACCAGATATATACTTTTTTATCAATACATTCCACTATATAATCATCAAGTAATTTATCATTTTTAATTACCATTTTCATGTTTTCTTCCGTTTCATCAGTTTCGTTCATAAAACACAAAGAAGATAAATGATGATTATTGTTATTGGTTTTTGACAAAACTAATCCCATTAGACTTCGTAAAATATCAGTGAAATGATAATGTACTTCCAAATGTTGTAATCGTGGACACAAGGCAAAGAATAATTCAACTATTTTCAATGAACCATCATAGGTCAAAGTGAGACTGCTGACAACATTTGTTTTAGATACCAACTGAAAAATTGCATCTTCCTGAATTGTTCTAGGATTCATTTCATCAATTGATATATAATCAAATTTTAGTCTATGAAGATTTACTGCAACACTTAATAATTTAACAAATTGCATAAAATGTATAGGTGAATCTTCAACAACTAGTTCAGTAAGTTGTTCTAAAGAAATAATACATGGTAAATTAATATCCATCGAATAGTCAGATGAAGGCCAAGAATATTCGAAAGTTAATTTCGTAGCATTCGGAAAATAATTTCCAAACTTGTTGATTGTGTATGGATTGCCCATGTCAATATGATGAACAGAATCAAAGTTTAATTTTTCTTCAGTTATTCCATCTAATAGAAATGTTGCTCTTCTAGAAATATCAAAAATAGATTATAGCACATAAATAAATTTATCTTATATACTTATATGGTTTTAATAAAAAGAAAAGAAAATCATTTTCACTGTGTCCACAAGAATGTTGAGTAGAGAAAAACCATTGTCGTTCGATCCAAAATGAAGAAGTAAATTTTTTTATCAGATTTTTATTAATAGAAATCATATCCTTCTCAGATTCTGCATAACACTTATATTGAAAATCGAATATTATTAAATTTGGTATATGAGACAAGATTAAGTTTTGCCATTGATTTGCATCTAAGTATGTTATTTCATTACTAGCACAGAGTCGTAATACTTGAAGATCATGGAAGAGATCTTTAGCCAATAGTTCGAAGTCATGAAAATCGAAAGACCGTAGTTTAAGTGATATATATGTTAAATTGTTCAATGTAATAGAAAACGTCATATTTTGTTTTTTTTCAGGTTTCTTTAAAAAAGAAATCGATAAACGACGGATTTGAGGAACATATGATAATATAACATAAAGTGTATCAAGTTGAACATCATTTTTAATAACAAGATGTTCAATAGAACTATATTTATTGGTAGCAAATGGTAATGATAATACTATAGGCATAGAAACCCATCCCAATAATAAATTAAAATACTTTAAAACTGGTAGTTGAAATATTTGATGATAAACTTCACTTTGATCAATCTTAGTATAACCATCATAAACGATGGTTAATGAAGATAGTTTTGGTAGATTAATCAAATATTGAAGATTACGAAGATACGAGGATGAAATATTAGTAAAAATAAGTGTTTCAAGTCCAGTCAGTTTTGAAATATTATCTTGTGATGATGAAATAATATTGACAGCAAGTATATTTGTTATGCGAAGTGATTTTATTCGTTGTCGATAAGGTATAATTATATCTTTATAATAACGTTGAAAGGTTGGTTTTGACATAGATGAAATATTGATTTTAGTCGGAAGATTTGAATTGATAATAAGATTTACAAATCGTTGATTAAGATTTGAAAAAGTTTCATAGATATAATCAAAATCAAAGTATTCGAATATTTCATAAATAATTTCATTAGATAAATCTTCGAAATAACTAATAGATTTTGTACATAAATTAATATCAAATGAATCTTCAGGTTGACGGGTACTATGGAATTGTTTTCTTTTCATATCATCAGAATCGTCGGTACTAATATTCCGTTGTCGTTTCATTTGTTCCATATTGAATTATTTAATGATGCGAATACAAATAAGAAAGTACGAATAAATACTAGAAAATAATTATATATTCGACGATATTAGAACAGAAAGAAATTGTTATGATGTAAATCCAACGTGTCTATAATGAACCACACATATAGATACATATCTTTTTTTCTTCGTTCTATTCTTTATTTTCTCCATGTGTGCATTTTTCGAAAATAAGAAAGCAAAAGAATATTTGAAAGTGGAACATGAATATATCGTTTTTCATGTATTTATTTCTATTTTCATTGTGATTATCGAGTTAAGGAGGCAACAAACTCTTAAAAATGTCCAACTGGGTGAGGTGGATGCGGGTATGTCTAGAATTAACCATCCACAACAAAACCCACACTCACACCTTATATAACAATAACTAAAAGATTTTTGCTTCTCTATATGTGAAGCAAAAAGCATCCATTTCCACAACTGTATTTTATCTTACTGAATAAAGTGAGATAAGAACATTTTGGGCGCAACAACTACGTATTGATACCACTGCGTTTGAGAACACCATCTTATTGCTGTTGATATTATATAAAAGTATGTGAGTTCTTTCATACCTGGATGAGATCGAGCCTGATTTTTACTTTTTTGTCCGAGTGCAGATTTATATTTAATTAGATATAACATTTTAATTTTAGGAAAATCAAAGTACAAGCAGGCATGTTAAGAACATCTTTGATAGTCATTCTTTATTATATCTTCTTAATCGTGTCTTTGTATTCTAAAGCAATCGTTTTCACCAACAGTATAACAAAACTAAATTGTTGAAAAGAGAAACTACTGTTGTCAGTTAAGGAACAACTTGTGAGTTCGTCTTTTCGGTTTGAAAAAGCATATTTTGGTAAAATAACGCGTTTTTATCAAGTTTAATAAAAAGTTCTCAACGCTGAGGAGTTTGATTCTAATGAGAAAAATTATGAGACGGCATATCGGCCCATGTTTAAGCCTATTAAATAATATATCATGAGGGTGTGGGTGAAAACTAATCTTTTCTTTATTCACACCCACACACTGCAAAGCTCCAATTGTTGAATTTAACTACCTGAGAGCTATATGTATACCACTCGAAAATCATCTTTGTACTTCTGTCGTGATTACTTGAATATAAACGTCACACGTTACAACAAAAACAGCTTTTCGCAAAATTTTATTAATATGACATCAGTTGAAGAGTGATCGAATAATACAGAAAAACAGAATATCTCCGACATTACTTTTGATATGACCTGATTAAAAGATTTTTATTAACTAACTTTATCGACATAAAATAATGAAATGCGAAATAAAAACTCTACTTTCTATATTATATTGTAGTTTGGTCATCCAAAAAAAGAAATCTCAAGAATAATTGTTCTGTGACATTTTTCTCCACAAGGATTGCTCCACTTTCCTTTTAGTTTGAAAAAAATATAAAACTCACTCATGTACTCAAAGAGAACATTGATGGATACTAATTGTCATTAACAGAAAAAAAGATTTTCAAGAAGCTGCTATTAAAATAATGATCATTTTCTATATGTTCATTAAAAACCACTTAGTTGTTTGTATATAATTAAACAAACACTTTTTATTCGAAAATGATTTTAAAAATACTCTAACCTATATTAACCCTTTTCGTACCATGGCTCAGCGAATGGATGAAACTTTGCTAGGACTTTATTTTTAACATGTATTTTGTATCTTGTGAATATTTTCATCGAAACTTTTCAAAGAACTTTTGAAGTCATTTTCGATTAATACCCGTATCCCCCTACGGCACGCTAGTACTTAAAGGGTTATTAAAATGATAAATACCGTGCGAATACAAGCATCTATATGTCCTCTATGCCACAGTGACAAGTGCACTTCGATATTGTTTCGCATTCGTAATTTATTCAGAATTTGTCAAATTCTAAAAAGTGGGGCTTATAGGCCCCGTTGGTACTTAAAGGGTTAAAATATTGTTTAAAAAGAGCTTAGAAAAGAAAAAAAACAATATTTTAGTTTTCCTCAATTAAGACGTTTCGATAGATTTATTATTATTATCAAGTACAATCGCTTATAATACAGCTATAGAACTATTTGAATTAAATTAAAATTACAGAAAAATGCAATTCAAATTCAGTAAAGTTACAATAAATACATCTTGGATGGTGTGGATGTTTGATCTGGTAGCTCAACCCGCCCTTTTTTCCTCTTTTTTTTTGGAGAAATAAAATAGAAAGAGGAAAAAATCAATACAAATCAGGTGTTTAATAATAACAACCTAGTTTTGCTTGTAGTAAACAGTGTTTTTTTCTCTTTTTCGTTTTTCTTCTATCGATATGAAAACAGCCGATATAACTATACTGTGATTGATATATTCTGATTTTGTTCTTTGAAATTGAGCAAGTCAGCATAAATTTATGTTGAATTGTCCAATTTAAAAAAGTGATAGACTCTTTACTTGCTTCATTGATGAATATATCAATTCTTTATACAGAGAAATTGAAATAGAAAAGCGAAGATTTTATTTAATTCGACGTTTCGATCAACTATGTAAGTATTTTCAAGAACACGATCAGGTACTCTAAAGATTGAAGACCGTTACTACCAAAAACTTATTGTTACCATTATATCGGCCTATTAACAAATTTATTGAATGAAATTTTTATAATATAACAACTAAATTATATTGCTTTGCTCTGAACGATAAATGTTTACAGAATTGTTCAAGTATAATGATTCTCAAGCACATCCAAAGTATATAATGTTCATTTCAATTTTTCTGTGATGTATAAAGCGCATAATATCGTTAATTGATGTTTAGTGATATGCTCTTTCTATAAGTATTGATGCTGACATAGAAATTCACATTTTCTTTAATATAGGACATAACGACCACACTAATTTTATTGCCACAGAGACAATTCAATGCAGCTTATTATTATTATTGTGTTTATTTCAAAAATGATATCGATCTCATCGATTTCAGTTGGTCGAGTATCACAGACTCGTCTCTTACCTGGATTAAAGAATGAGAGTATTTGGTTGATCAATCAAACAAATGCAAATATTTGTCTTTGTAATGCATTGAAACTTTATTCATTGAATGCAATTGCTGGCTTAAATAGTTTCTTATTAAATGCAACTTGTCAGTTAATTTTGTCACCACCAGTTTTATCACCGACGATTGTTTATGATACACAATCTACTCTTATTCTTCTTCATCCATTTACTGATGCGCCTTGTTGTTCAGATTTCTCATGGCTCTTATCACGTGTACAAGGTTCTCAACGACGATCGAGTGATACAGTATCATCACCATCGATGATCACGATAAATTCAGCCAATACATTAGTATCAACACTTACAGCAAACGGACCACTTGTTCGATTTGATCGTAATAATCTTAGTTTAGCGGGTACTTATTCATTACCGTCTGGTTATCTTTGTGAAACGGCATACTATCGATCTGGTCGTTTCTTTGTTGGTATGTATGTTACCTATTTAACTGATAAATATCCACAATGAATAAAGATCTTCTCACTAAATTTTAAATAAATAGTGATTTGCAGAGATCACTTAGAATGTAAAATAGAGATGAGTGTGACGAATCAGTTGCACGTCAATAAAAAGAAGTTGTCACTCTCATTTTTTAAATCTTTTCCGTAATACTTTTTGAAATTTTAGGATGTGATACACCCACTGCGCTCGTCGTTTTCAATGAAACAAACATGACATCACCAGTAACCGTAATAAACACAGGATTAAGATCACGTTCAGTAGCATTTGCACGCAATGACACAGTAATGTTTGTTGCTGTACAACTTGGAAGCACGCCTGTTATGATGTACAACGCTAATTTGAACACAAATACCTATATATCTTTGAACACGACATTTCCGTCTACCTCCAGTTATCCTTGGGCGATAAATACAGTCAATGATAGTTTCGTTTTATTGAGTAACTGGGGTTCTAGTGTTCCTGTCTATGCATTAAAATCATCGTCCAATATAAGTAATACATGGTCAATGGTTGCTTTGAATTTTACAGAAGTAAGCTCATCCGAAAACTTAGGCGATGCAATTATCGATTCATGTGGTCGTCTTTGGGTGGTTGTCTATAATTATGGAATACGAATTTATGACAAATCTGCGACTGTTCTTCTAGCCAGTTGGCCATTGTCAACAGGATTAGATGATATTTTATTGCTTGACAGCTATGAACTATTTCTGTCAGACTATGACAATAGTAAAATTCTTCATTTCAATCCAAATCTTCAATGTACATCATAAAAATATCTTTATTCTTTACAAAACTTATCATTAAATTCTCTCAAGATTTGTCAAAAACTAACTAAGACTTGTTTTGCAATTTTATCTATTGTTGATCAGTAGCTTCTAGATTTTGCTTGAGGGTGTGGGCATGAGATGTTAAAAGTATCCATACACATACCCACCCATCATATTTTTTCTGAAAAAGATCAACCACAATACTAATTCGTTTCGTTACTTTTGTCATACAGTGAAGTTGTTAGTAAATAAATATTCATTGAAAAAATTATTTTAAAGCTTTCTCGTAGGTGTGGGTGTGGGTGTGGGTGTGAGTAGGAAAGAAGGAGCACTATTCTACATCCACATCCATAATCTGTTGAATCTTAGAGAAAATCTAGTCGTTCATACATCAAATAAACATACAATATATGATTTAGTGACGTTTGAAATAATGCTTAAGAACAGAAAATTTCTGTACTAATAATTGATGGAGGTACTGTAATTTTCTATTCAAATCTGTATATTTATAATAATTACAATTATTATCAGTCTTTATTTATAAAGACAAATTTTAGTTAAATCATGATATCCAAGTTTTTCTACTTATTATTTCTAAACAATTTCTCTCAATTGTTTTTCGTGTAGGTTGAACATAATTAGAAGTTATTCAATCAAATAAGATAATAGATTAATCAAGATAGTTTTGTTTTTAATTATATATTCTTAAAATGTTTATAATCATCTATCATTGTTGATATTATTCATAATATTATCTTGTTTTTTTGTGTTCATTATAAATAAACTTCTCGAAGTAAATGACGCATTTTTAAAGAATATTCAATAATATTTAAAATTTGAATAGATAGTTTCTATGAAAAATAAGTTAAAGAAAATTGGAGTGAAATGACATTTTACACGTTAAAAAACACATAGAATAAATAATTTTAAGACAAAATCAAGTACGAAATATGGTCTTAAAAAGATCTTTAACAAAAATATTTTTGATGTTTGTCAATCGGATAAAATTGAATGTTGTCTATAATATAGAAGGAGAAATATTATTTGACATTTTACTTCAAATATTCTCTAATAGAATGCTTTTACAATACAATTCAGAAATATTGAACTGAATACTATTTTTATTAGAATGAGAATCTTTTCATTCTTGTAATAAAATTAATCACAAGCAAAAACAAAATTCTGCTTTTTTTTTTGTTAATTTCTTTTTTCCTTTGCAACATTAGATTACGACGACATATTTCTATAACACTCATCAAATATATATATAATTACTCTAACAAGAGAACAGCTAAAAGTAAATTTCTTTCTTCTAACAACATATTTATTAATGAGAGTTTCTATTTTTTTTCTATAGATATTCTAACGATGTCTTCACAATCTTCATCAACAAGTTATATTTTATTATTAAAATCAATCACAAAATATTTATATCAAATAGGTGCTCCAATTTTAATATGTATTGGTAGTATGAGTAGCATATTAAGTTTAATTGTATTCACAAAAAAATCTTTACAAAAAAATCCATGTTCAATTTATTTTATTTCATATAATATAGCCAATCTTATTTTAATGTATTCATCTATATTAACAGTAACATTATCAGCTGGTTATGGTGTTTCTCTTTCTGCATATAATTTAGCTTTTTGTCGTTATAATTTATATATGGCAATTCTAATCGATATTCTTAGTTCATCTTATTTAGTTTTAGCTTCGATTGATCGAATGTTAGTGACTTCTGTGAATGTTAAAACAAGACAACGAAGTACTCGTCGTTTTGCATATTTTAGTATTATTAGTATAACCATATTTTGGATATTATTTCATAGTCATATATTATCTTCAGCAGTTATAACACAAGTTACACCAAATAATTTTGTTTGTAATCTACCACCTGGAACAGATCTGATATTACATTCTTATTATTCACTTATAGTCAAAGCATTATTAATACCATTATTAATGATTATATTTGGATTATTAGCATTAAGAAATATTCGAAGAGTACATTCTATTAGAAGAACTACAAAAAAACAAATACAATCGAGTTATTCAAAAGATCGACAATTTTGCTTAATGTTATTTATTGATATAGGTATATATATTATTTTCAGTTCCATGTTATCTGCAATTAATATGTATCAACAAATTACTCAATATTATATTAAAAGTTCACTTCAAACACAATTTGAACTTTTTTTAAAAACTACAGCTGTTTTTATTAATTATATTTCAATTTGTATTGGATGTTATACAAATATTTTTATATCAAAAACTTTTCGTAAGAATATTAAAAACATTATTTTATGTAAATGAATATTTTCGTTTTTCTAATAATGTTGTTCAACAAAAAAATTTTTTGAAAACTATCCGACTTATTATAACACTATTTGTAATCTTCTATCTATTTAAATAGCATGAAACTTTGTTTATCTGATTGTTTAATAATAAATTTATAATATCTATATTTATTATTTAAGAATAACTGAGGATATAAATATGAGAGTTGAGCTCGATGAAGTATCAGAAGAAATATCAGTTAGAGGTTTAATTTTTTCGACGATTTTCAACATTTATATCAGAATGAATAAACTGTATACTTTTCAATCAAGTAATGTGTTATTCATGTCCTATATGTTAAGATGAATCTTCTTAGATAAAGATACTTGAATTGATGAATAAACTTTCTTTAAGCATATGTTGGTTCTTTTCGTATTAATTTGATAGTTGATAAGAATAATTATTTCATTTTTTATAATTGCTGATTAATGATATTTATCGCTTTTTGGTCTATGTAGGATTTATTAATCAGTTTTTAGTTTTGACTTTTATTTATTAGATGATCAGTTTTATTTCTATTAATAAAATAATTAACCATCAATTTAGAGGAAAACATAGAGATGGGTATGTTTATGTGTCTGTAGGATGCATGTAGAAAATACATTTATTTCTATATTAGGACGGATTGAGATGCTTTTGGTGTTTTTACTTTGACTTATTATTTTTTAAATTGTTAACTTAAAGTTAAACTCAATATTTTTCGAATTAAACCATGTGCGTAATTGTAATTCAGAATGCGTTTACAAGGCGATCGTAGGGAGAATGCATCCTATTCCGCGATGTTGAACATTGGAGGAATCAGTTCCGCACCGGAATCGATTCCGTCCAATTCCGGGAACTCGATCGACACACAACATAAGACACCCAGTCAAGATTGATCGAGTTCGACCGATTCCGGAATTGCACGGAATTCCTACCGATTCCGGAATTGCACGAAATTCCTACCGATTCCGGAATTCCGTACCGGAATCACACCATCCACCTCACCCACATTTGTTGTGTTGTGCTGATAAGTTATCCAGCTTGGATACGATCCAATTCCGTTACGGAATTCCGGGAATTACATCAAGACGGAATTCAGTGGAATTGGACGGAATTCCTGGGAATTCCGACCGATTCCGGAATTATACGGAATTCCTACCAATTCCGGAATTGGACGGAACTCGATCAATTTTCGAGTGGGTATCGAATATTATGTGTCGATCGAGTTCCCGGAATTGAACGGAATCGATTCCGGAGCGGAACTCGTTCCTGAAATGTTCAACATTGCGGAATAGGATGACTGCTCAAGTGAAAAAGAGAAAGTCAGAGAATGACGTTAAATGCTTCATAGAATACATTGAGAAAGAATAGAATATTTACTGTTAGAAATATTTAGTATTTAATATTTTCAGCAGGATTCAGTTTTATTTTGGAAAACTTTTCCAGATGTTCATTTTCATGAACACTTAACTTCTGAAAAAGTACATTGAATGACGTCTTCATAATTTTCTGACGATTATTTGCCGTTCTCTGCTTTGCATCGTCACATGATGAATCATTTTTGCTACCAACGAAGTAATGCCAAAAATTACTTTTTTTTATTCTTCTACATCTTTATTTGTATTCGTGATGATAATGAAGAAACTAATGGTAATAACATAAAAAACAAAATTCACGTCTTGTTTACTATACACTATCGATGTAAATAATATTCAAAATAATTATACTTAAATCATCCTATTTTGTGTAACATCAACCATTAATTTCAATGCATAAACCAAAAATATCTTTTATATCTTTATTCTTATCATAACGAATATAATCGATAAGCATGTAAATGATATAAATATAATAATCGAAGGATTATTCTTTCGTTTATTTGATTAATACTCATTTATCATTGATATCAAAAGATCATTCTTTCGATCACTGAATATATCTTTATTCAAATAAAAAAATAAATATACACGATCAAATTTGTCTCCATTTGAAATAATATATCAGAATTGTAATAAACCTACGAATGACTAATAATTTTTTCCTCGTTTATATCATAAGAAAGAATTATCTAAATTAAAACTATTCTTTTACTCTTTTTTTTTTTTCTAATGACTTTAAAAAAAATATATTTTCTCACAGAAAAAAGGTTTGATTTAATTGAGTGCACAAAAAAGAAATCTTATTTTATATATCAAACACATTAGTATAGTTTGTATTGAGAAATAAGAAATGTAAAACAATCAAATGCTCAATATTAAAAGATGTATGAGATGTTGACTGACAAAATAGGAATTATCTCATCAGACAAGATTCTTCTCACCACAAAACATAAAAAAATTCTTGTGCTTTATTTTTGATATCAGTATGGATCTACTAGATAATCAATGAACAATATAAAATTTGTTTAGAATTCTATTTTATAGGAAATTGATTTTCAAACGTTTACTATTCATTCTTGTTCACTTATAGTTTATTTTCTATTTCATAGTGAATACATCATATTATATAGAAGGTAGTGTATTTTATAATAAACGAAACAGATGTGTTTGGTAACTAATATTGTTTCTATAATAATAGATGAATATTTTTTTTCTTACCTTCTTTTGTATGACGACGACATTTTTCTTTTTGAATAAGCAAGTTTTTTTATTAGTTGAAAAGCATTTAAAAATGAAAATTTCCAGGAATAAGATTTAATTAGATCAACTGTGTTATTATATCTATGAGTGACATTTGTTTTTTTTTTTGAGTTAATATTTCGTCATCGTTGTCTGAATAATTAGAAATTAAAAAAGATGTAGGTATTATATGAAGTAAAATTGATAATTGATTTAAATCTTTCTAAGAATTTCTATACGATTATATTTTATTTTCTAAATTTAAATTGTTGACTAATATTAAAGACTATTAAACTACTGTTAACTATTTTTTTTCAAATCATAAATAAGTACTTTCTCAATGTACTATTTCTTTTTTTTTTGTTTTTACATCTGGCGAACCATGCGTAATATGAGAAAAGAAAACACAGTCGTTACCTACGTGATGGTATAAGGTGAAAGTACAAGTATTTATTAACAACACTCAAGAATACTCCTATACCATACTTTTTCCTCTTCTTATTTAAAGGAATGTTTAAAAAAGTATATTTTTCAAACATTTAAGTTAAACAAATACAACACAACTGGTTATTCATTGCACCGATATCAGGTTAGATAAATAAACAGAAAGCTTTTCAACTACATAATCACACATTAAGAGAAAAATGAAACTATTAATTATTCTAATATTTTGTCATTACTTCGATGCAATAGACAAATCTCTGATCGTTATTTGCATATACCAATGAATAAATTTCTTTTATACTACTGATCATATATTCTCGTGATTTTGATAATTTTTCTTCTTTTTATATTAGACATAGAATTTAGAAAAGTGCGATCACGTATACTCATTTAAACTATTAAATTTATGAACGTGTATCACAATCTGAAAGTAATGACCATTAATATGTTTAAAAGAACCTTTTATTCTTATATTACCTTAACCAAGGATAGCATCTTATATTTAACTGAAATAAGCATTTTTCTTCATGCTTTTTCTATAATACTTGATCACATTGTGCAGATGTTTCGAAACATACAGTAAATATGATTTATTTTAAATAAGTTACTTTAGATACTTAAAAATGAATGTTAAATTGTTCCTAGATATATAAGGTAGTTACAGGTTCAGTAAAAAATAATGTTTTCCTCAAATATTCTTTGAAAAATATGAATTAACAGATGTTTTAGGTTCGATATAGACTTTCAGTAAAATATGATTATTCTCTCTCATAGAAACATGAAACAAAAAAAAACATTAGGTTCTTTTTTCCACAATTATATTTCAGAATATGAAAATGAGTTAAAGAAAATGCAATAAGCAAAAGTAATATTTTTCTTATAATATAAAAAAGAATACACAGGAATATACTTTTTAAAAATTCTTCTGATGAAAAAGAGAAAATACAAAATTTTATATTTTTAATTAAATAAAATAACTTCAACATATTCCTGGTTAAAGAAATAATAATGCAATGCGCATGTTAGAAAAATATTTACTCGAATACTGTAAATATATATAAATATTCTAAATATAATATCAAAATAAGATGAAATTTAACAATAGGTAATATACCATCTAAGAAAATAATTATCATTAACACATGGTAATAAAACAAAGTTTAATATGTAGAAAAGTTATTGTATGTTCGTTAAAAAAAATATTAATGTCGCAAACGCTTCAATATTCTTGTTATTTTGAATGAGTATATTTTATTCTGTTTATTTCAAAAGATTATTACAGAATACTATTTAAAAAAAAACTGTTAGCGCTGCATTTTAAGGAATATAATGCGAGATAAAACATAGTTGTTGTAATATCAGTTAGTGCCATTAATATTTTGCCTCCCAAAATTTGTAGTAAATTGTTCTTATGATAGAGGACGCTTTCATTTTAAACTACTTCCTTCTCTTGCAGTATATGATGTGCTGAATGTAACAGAGTATCCAATGATGATCTATATTGATTCTTGTTTAACATTTGTCGCAACCTATGTTATCAGTTATTACTAATTAATTAATATTAATTGATAATATCTGTGATATGTATTGACGATAGGGTTGTTTAATTCCTACCCCTAACATTTAAGTACGCTTTTTAGTTTGTGTTTCATAAATTAATCGTAAGGGACTTTTAGACGTTGTATTGTTTTATTATGAACTAGCGACAGTACCCGATATTGGTTGAGATAATTTGATAAAACATATTTTGTGTATGCCCAAACGACGTCGCTATGGTCTTCTATGAATTATCGGTTTACGATATCGCACAATACGCTTAGATCATTTTCCTTTCTCACTTTTAGTACTTAGCATTTGAAATTTTTATAAATATCTTTTTGCTTGAGAGTGTTAGTATGAGTATCATATCCACTAGACACACTCACCCACTCAGACCCTTATCCACCCAAACTCTCATTCACCCAAACTCTCATTCACCCACCCAGACCCTCACTTACTCACCCACCCACTCAGACTCTGACCCATTCAGACCCTCACCCACCCACCCAGACTCTGACCCATTCAGACCCTCACCCACCCACCCAGACTCTGACCCATTCAGACCCTCACTCACCCACCCAGGTATTTACCCACTCAGACCCTGACCCACCCACCCAGACCTTCACTCACCCACAAGATCCTGACCTATTCGGATCCTCACTCGCCCAACCAGACCTTCACCCACTCAGACCCTGACCCACTCACCCAGACCTTCACTCACCTACAAGATTCTGACCTATTCGGATCCTCACTCGCCCAGCCAGACCTTCACCCACTCAGACCCTCACCCACCCACCAGGACCTTCACTCAACGACCCACGCGCTCACTCACTAACCCAGACCCTAACCCGCACAGAGCTTCACTTATCCATCAACACCCAGACCCTCACTCACTCACCCACCCATAACCTAAAGTCACGTAAGAGAACTATTACATCATCATCGCAAGCTAGAAAAAAGACTCATATACACATTCTCTTCCTTATCGTGCATTAGAGAATTTTTTGATTTTCACAGTCTGGGTGGAATTTTACCTAGCCCCTTCCTACCCTTCTTGGTCGCGCCAGTCGTGTCTAAATTCTCTTCTAGACCAAGAAATATGTCATGAAAAGTTTGATGACGCTAGTTATTACCGAAATCAAATGCACAAAAAACAGACAGACAATCATTATTATTTACATAGACAAATAGTGGCTTCCGTATCCTACAATCACACCCTCAAGATGCGTTCTTCTTTATATATATATAGATAGATAGACTGCATTACGTAAAGTTTTATCTACAAAATAGGATCGTCTTTAAATGGCTTTATATGCAATTATACGTATTATATGTAAATACCTATAAACTGAAAATCGTAAAGATCTTATATTTCATAACTATTTTCTAATCCTTTCAGTAGATATTGCTACTTTGTTAATTTTATTTCAGATGAATAATATGATATTATTTAAGTTTTTCAATATGTGGTTATTATTCCTATATATTGGTCAAACATCGGGTATGTATTTTATTAAAATTGTCAATATACTTAATGTAAAAGTAAGACGTTTTACTTCATGCAAGAATCTTTCTTTCAAAATAAATATCTGTGAGATCAATATGAATAAACTGACCAAGTATCTATCATTGAGCTTGCAATGATTCTCATTATTTTTCTTAGGTATTTCGTACAATCAACCAAAACTTTGTGCAAATGCAACGTGGAACCAGACGGCTCTAACTTTTGCTACAAGCACCTTGGTCGGCACACGTCCTCTGGGTATTTTTGTCGATACAAATAATACTGTCTATGTAGCTGATTATACGGATGGCAGGATTCTAATATGGCTTAACGGAAGTACTACACTTACTGGCAATATTTCAAGTGGTTTAACTACACCTTATCCTCTTTTCGCTACGGACAATGGGGATCTTTATGTCGGTAATGCCTACTCAAATTATCGAGTTGACAAATGGGCATGGAATACGACAAGTAGTGTTCCAGCAATGTATATTTGTTCAATATGCTATGGTATTTTTGTGGATATTAACAATATGCTTTACTGCTCAATATTTTCTTATCATCAAGTTATCTATAAATCATTGATCCAAAATTTAAATGTATGGAGTAATGTTGCCGGTGTAAGTAATACAGCTGGGTCAACATCGACAACACTTAATAATCCATGTGGAATTTTTGTCGATACTTACATGAACTTGTATGCAGCTGATTGGGGAAATAGTCGGATTCAAAAATTTGCATCAGGACAATTGAATGGAACAACAATATCAACAGGAGCCATCACACTCTATCATCCAACTGGAGTTATACTTGATGGTGGTGGATATGTTTTTATTGTTGACAATGGCAACAGTCGCATTATTGGCTCAGGACCTAACGGTTTTCGATGTATAATGTCATGTTCTGGATCTGGTTCATCATCCAGCCAATTAAATATTCCACAAAGCATGAATTTTGACAGTTATGGAAATATATTCGTTACTGATCAGTATAATAATAGAATTCAAAAAATTCTTTTGTCATCAAATGTCTGCAGTAAGTATAAGTATATATAACGATAAACGTTCCTATTCAATACCTAAAATAAACAAAATTCTATTTGTTTTAGATACAACCTCAACAACAACTACAGCTGATGGTATATTAAATGTCTTTCTTCCTTTCTTTTTCTATATTGTTAAGAAATCATCTTTGTTTATAGCAACAACTATGATGAACATCGTTCAAACGACTACTACATCAACACTCGTCTCTTATTCCAATGGTAATGTAATAACTGATAATGAATATTAAGTATATCCATCTTCACTATCACTTACTAGAATGTGCACGAAGATATGAAAGTCTACTATCCCAATGAGCGTCTAAGTACAAGAAATGATTTGTAAATAATTTAAAATGACTAATTAAGGCGCTATTCTCAACGATGTGAATAATTCTCTTACAAAGACCTTTTTATCCTGATTTGTGATTGAAAAATATTCCAGTTGAAAATAATCGAGTTCTGTTAGTATTTAATCAGAACTATACTTATTATTACATGCTCATATGAACATTAATTTCATACATTGTTTTACTGGTAATACGAACCAAAAGAACGAATGGAGAGTACTCAAAACTTATTACAATTTTTTTTCTTACCATTTTCTTTTTAAGCTTATAAACATTTTACTAAGTTCTGATCTAGTACATAAGAGATGAAAATAGTAGCATTATATATTTTCTAAAGCATCTAGTTCTATAGGTCAGAAGTATAATAAAATAATCATAATTCGAAAAAAAAACAATATTAAGATAGTTTGTTATAAATGTTTCTCGCTCTAAGTAGGCCTTATTGCATAGTACAGGTTTTACCACGAACTACTTGAGAATTCAGAGCATATGAATATTTTTTAGCTGAGAATGTGGGTATCGCTGTTTGATATTCCACCATACACACACACATGCATACCCGCTCTCAACAATTATGTGATTTGTACATAATAGAATAAAAATAAAATTAATATTATTTTAGTCATATCATTCAATCAACCAAAATTTGGCGCCTATGCTGCTTGGGATAGTGTTGGTATTACTTTTGCAACTAGTAGCACAGTTGGCACGAGTCCATATGGAATTTTCGTAGATACTAATAATACAGTTTACGTCGCCAATAAAGCAAGCAATCAGATTCAAGTATGGTTATCAGGAAGTAGTATACCCACAAAAAATATTACTAGTGGTGTTACTTCTCCATATAGTATCTTTGCTACAATCACTGGTGATATTTATGTCGATAATGGATATACAAATAATAGAGTCGATAAGTGGGTATCAAATCGAAATACAAGTAGTTCAGTAATGCAGGTTCAAGGTGCATGCTATGATCTCTTTATCGATGTTAATAATACTCTTTACTGTTCATTATATACTCAAAATCAAGTTGCCATTAAATCATTGAATGGTAATTCAAGTATGTGGATTGTTGCTGCTGGTACAGAATGCTCTGGATCAACTTCGAATACACTTAGTAATCCTCGTGGAATCTTTGTTGATACAAATCTTAATTTATATGTTGCTGATTGTGGAAACGATCGGGTGCAATTATTTTTGTCTGGACAAGTAACAGCAACTACAGTAGCAGGAAGTACAGCTACTGGAACTATTTCACTTGATTGTCCTAGTGATGTTGCACTTGATGGTGGTGGATATCTTTTTATTGTAGACAGTAATAATAATCGTATTATTGGTTCAGGACCTAATGGCTTTCGTTGTATAATTGCATGTGCATCTACCAGTGGTTCAGCATCCAATCAATTAAGTAGTCCATCGACTTTTAGTTTTGATAGCTATGGAAATATATATGTTACTGATCAAGGTAGTAATAATCGAGTGCAAAAGTTTATGTCAATACCAAATACTACCTATCGTAAGTATCCTATAGGATAGAACATAATTTAACTATCGAGCTATAGTTAATAAAGTTATTATTTGAATTTATTGTCAAAACTGTATACTTTTTAATTTCATGTAATAGATCAATAGTTTCCAAAAAACTATAGTTTTTTCTTTATATAAGATTATGAACTAACACAATTTTTATATCAGTAGTATATTGCCAATTATAGCAGTTCTATATCATCATTATTATCACTATTTCATTGAAAAATATTTGATACGAAGTTGTATAAAACAAGAAATTTTTCATAACCGTCTCATATGTTTCTGATAGATTTTAAGATGTTGATTTTAATCTAATATTCTTTGTTTATAGCTCTGTCTTTTAATCAACCAAACTTTTGTCCATCTACAACTTGGTATACAGATGCTGTTACATTCGCTAATAGCAATATAGCCGGTTCAGGTATCTATGGTATTTTTGTCAGTATTAATAACACTGTTTACGTTGCTAATCGAGCCAACACTGTAATTTATGTGTTTCTTGAAGGAAGTGTCATTTCTAGCAGAAACATAACCAGTGGTTCGAATAGTCCATATGCTATCTATGCGACACTTTATGGTGATGTATACGTTGACAATGGGGCTAATAGTCAAATTAATAAAATGGCAGTAAATGCCAATAGTAGTGTTACGGTTATGACAGTTAATAACGGTATTGAAGGGTTTTTTATCGATATTAGTAATACTCTTTATTGTTCAATAACTTGGAGCCATCAAGTTGTCAAAAAATGGTTAAATGATAATGGGACTACTGTTACTGTAGTAGCTGGTACAGGTTCTGCGGGTTCTGCTGTGACTCAACTTTATTATCCTTCCGGACTTTATGTTGATGCTCAATTTAATGTATATGTTACCGATTGCGGAAACAATAGAATTCAATTTTTTCCACCAGGACAAATAGCTGGAATAACTAAAGTAGGCAGTGGTGCAATAGGAACTATAACACTTAATTGCCCACATGCTATTACTTTTGATGCTAATAATTATATGTTCCTTATTGACTCTAATAATAATCGAGTTATAGGATCAGGACCATATGGTTTTCGATGTTTATTTGGATGTACAACTACTGCTGGTTCTTCATCAAGCCAATTAAATTCACCACGAACTTTCGGTTTCGATAGTTATGGAAATCTTTTTGTTTCTGATTCAAATAATAATCGAGTTCAAAAGTTCATTATAGCATCTAATTCATGTAGTAAGTTATTGTTTTCTTCCTCGAATGTAACTAATCTATTTATTTACTTATTTTAGGTTTGTCCTATAGTCAACCGACATTTTGCTCAAGTGCTTTATGGTCTGTAAATGCCGTAACTTTAGCCTCGAGTTCTATTGCTGGTTTATTACCTTATGGAATTTTTATTGATGGAATAAATACTGTGTACGTAGCTAATCGAGTTAGTAACACTATTTTAACATGGCCTCAATGGAGTACTACATATACAAGCAATAGTTATAGTAATTTGAGTAATCCATATAGTCTTTTGATGTCTCTAGCTGGTGATATTTATATTGATAATGGTTATTCATATGGTCGAGTGGATAGATATACATTTAATACATCAAATCGTGTTACTGTTATGAATGTTAATGGAAGCTGTTATGGTTTATTTATTGATACTAATAATACTCTTTATTGTTCACTTAAAAATCTTCATCAGGTTGTTAAACTTTTACTTAATAATGGTACAACCATCCCGATAATTGCAGCCGGAAATGGTTCTGCTGGATCACTATCAAATATGCTTAATTCTCCTCAAGGAATCTATGTTGATAGTAATTTAAACTTATATATCGCAGACTGTGCGAACAATCGTATTCAATTCGTTCAAATTAGTCAATTAAATGGAGTGACAATCGTTGGTAATGGATCATCAACAAATTTTATACTCAACTATCCAACTGGAATTGTCCTTGATGCTAATGGTTATCTTTTTATTGTCGATAGTTATAATCATCGTATTGTTGCTTCAAGTTATTATGGTTTTCGATGTATAGTGGGATGTTTGGGAGGTGGCTCATCTGCGTCTCAATTATCTTTTCCACAAAGTATGGCTTTTGATAGCTATGGAAACATATATGTTACTGATCGAAATAATAGTCGAGTACAACAATTCACTCTTCAAACTAACAATTGCAGTAAGTTATTTGTCAATAATGCAACATTATGAAATTGTAGTTGATGATTAGTTTTTGCGACTATCATTTGAAAAATTGACAAAAAACCTCATATTGATGTTTTTAGTATAAATTTTCACTAATTTGACTGAGTAAAGTACTATTGTTTTATATTTCAGCAATACCGACTACCACCACCACTACTACTACGAGCAGCACCAGCAGTACCACAACTAGCACTACTACTACTACCACAAGTAAGACTACAAGCAGTAGCAGTACAACAAGTAGTACTACCACCACCACTAGTAGCACTACTACTACTACAACTAGTACCACGAGTAGCACTACGACTAGCAGTACTACTACAAGCAGTAGCACTACTACTACCACCACCAGTACCACAAGCAGCAGTACTACAAGTAGCACTACTACCACTACCACCACCAGCAGTACAACTACAAGTAGTAGCAGTACCACAAGTACCACTACAAGCAGTAGCAGTACCACAAGTACCACTACAAGCAGTAGCAGTACCGCAAGTACCACTGCTACTACTACTACCACCACCACTTGTACTACAACGAGTAGCAGTAGTACCACAAGTAGTACTACTACGAGTAGCAGTAGCACCTCAAGCAGCACTACCACCACGACCACTACTAGCAGTGCTACTACTACCACTACCACTACAAGTACTACAAGAAGTAGCACTACTACCACGAACAGTAGCAGTACAACAAGCAGCAGTACAACGAGTAGTAGTACAACGAGTACTAGCAGTACTTCAAGTAGTACCACTACAACCATCAGTAGTAGTACATCAAGTAGTACTACTACCAGTAGTAGCAGTACGACAAGTATTATTCAAACGACTGATGCTGAAAGCACAACACAAACTCATGAAGGTATGTTGATCAGAATCATTTTCATTGAATTTTCAATTAATCATTATTCTTAGATGAATTCATTTCAACAGTGCAAGACTCAACAATAATTCCAAGCACAGCATCCATAACAACTTCTCAAACATTAAATATCAATGAAAGTAATAATATAAATAATACAAAAAAAAATAAAGTTTATCGATTTTTCTTTTCTAAATTAGCTTGTTATTCACCAACAATTATCTTGATTCCTGGACAATCATCTCTGTCATCTCCAATGTCGTATCGACGTAGTCAAGATTTTTCTATTACTTCAATGATTCAATTTAATTGTGATGGTTCACTTTCAAAAATTACTAAATGGACAATAAAGAATTGCACGTCAACTAGTTGTTCAGTTGAAATTGCATTAAATGAAAAAGTTAAGACAACATTTAGTGAACTTTATATTCCATCAAGAACTCTTAATTATGGTGTTTATCAACTAACATTAACTGTAACAATGATTGACTCACCGAATTTAAAATCATCATCTTCAGTTTATGTAAGAATAACTGCAACAGGTATAACAGCAAATCTTGTTCAATTAGGAACATCTATGGTAACACGAGGTGATCAACAGGATCTTTTACTTGATCCTGGGACATTTTCAGTTGATCCTGACGAGGATACATTTGATGCAACTGTAAGTAATATCTATAAGTGAATAAATGAATCATTTTTAAAAACTTTTACTCCTAGAAATGGAAATATACGTATTATTGTCGAATATATAGTTTATATAATTTTCCAAATCTACAAGGAATATTATTATCAATTGGAGATTCAAGAATTGATCCTTATAGTCCATCATGTTTGTCAAATCGATCAGGTAAAATTGTTAATGGCAATCTAATTTTATTAAACCTCTGATCTGTATTTAAACAATTATTTTTATTACTTTTCATAAAGGAAATGGAACAGGATTAATATTCGGAAATTTAACTTCATCACCTAATTCATCTCTAACAGTTCTCAGTGGTTCACTTCAATTAAATCAAATCTATCAATTTATGGTCTATATGGAGAATCGTAAGAATTCTTCTATTCAAGCAACAGGTTATGTACTTGTTACAATTGAAGTTACTCATCCACAACTGATTGCTGTTGGGTAAATTCTTTATGAGTTTTTAATCGAATTATTGTAATGAAAAATATTTATTTCAGTTGTGTAATATCATCAATGTGTGTTCCAAATCTTGAATTTCAACTTCTTAATCCAACAACACAAGTTGCTCTATTTACTGTGTGTATTGGAACTTGTACAAATCTTCAAAGTATTAAATGGAACATTTATCAAGGATCAGACAATTCAACATCTTCAAATTCTACTCAATGGACTTTATTTAATCAAACAAGTTTATATGAAAATATTTTGTTTTTTGGTAAAAATTTTGTTTTTTTAACTATCATGTATATATTTATTGATTATTTTAGGTACGAATACAAGTAATTTCACAGCAACAGATCTATTATTTCTTAATAATCTTCAGATAAGTCTTTGGCGTTTTGAAGTTGTTTATACATTTCTATCTGCAATAAGTACAAGTGCATTGAATTTTATTATTAATCAACCGCCTTCAAATGGTTCATGTTCAATCAATCCTCTTAGTGGTACTATAACTACTTTATTCACTATTAAGTGTCTAGACTGGTATGATGTAGATGGAATACAAGATTATTCATTATATGGTATGTTTAGTTTTCACTACCAACTGACGGTTGTACTTTTTGTCATTTTAGTATGGACAACAGATATATCACAACGAACAATAATTGCATTTTCACCAGAGTATAATTTTCAAGTTCGATTACCAGCTGGTGACAATGAAACTTTATTACTCAATCTTGTTGTTTATGTTCGAGACCTTGCGAGTTCTATTACACAAGTGAATATATCTTCTGTTAATGTTATTGCAGATACCGCAACAATCAATGATTTAATTGATAAAATAATAAATGCATCGAGTACAATAACAAATAATCCAATTGTTCGATTACTTTCAAGTGGAAATCAAAATGTTGTTGGACAAATATTCATTTCATTATCACAACAATTCAATCAAATGAATAGTAAAAATTTAGATAAAGCTATTTCAGGTATACCTTGACATTTAGCTTATGATAGATAATCAAAATAATCTTTCTTAGGTGGAATACCAGCTGCAACTATTTTAGTATCATCATTAGGAAGTTCAAGTTTACAACAAGTAATTGAATTTAATAGATTTTATTTTATTTTATTTCTTTTTTAAAATAGATGTCAATACCATTGAATGAATCAGCTTTGATTGACTATAATATAGAATTAAATTCTCAAGCAAATGTTCGAGATTATCTAGTAACATTTATAACTAATCTTCTCATAACAACATCAAATAGTATTATATTACAATCATCATCATTAGTTCAATTAACTCAAGCAACAAATCAATTAACACGAAATACTTTAGTAAAAATTATAAACAATATTTCTATTGAAGATTTTTATACTTTTTTATATAATTTTTGATGCTTGTATCAAATCGATGTTATGAATTATCTGTTGCTCTGTATGCAATGTTTGAAAAAATCTCATATGAAGATGCTCAATCAGCAGCAAATCAACTTTTTCAATGTGCTTCAAATATTTTAAACGTAAAATATATATGAAATCAGTATTCTCATTTTTCTCTCAAACTCTTGATGGTGTGGGGTGTAGATGATGATACGAGATGATATCAGCACCCACACCCACACCCTTCAATGATTTTGACATAAAAAAACAAATTTTTTCTTTAATTATCGATCTTGATAATTTTAGGCTGTAAATGGACCATTACAAGGACGAACAGATGTACTTGATTTGGATTCTTCTCGTGCAAATGCCATATCTACTGATTATGATACTGATCTTGAATCTGCATGGTCAAATTTAAGTAAGCTTCTTTTCATATGATAAATTATTATTGAATTTGAATTTTTGTTTTTTGAAGATTTATTTTCTGATGGAAATGATTTTTCTGCTGAAACAATTGAAAAAAATCGAAATCTTTATTATCAAAAACAATTAGCAAATCAAATCAATAGTCAAGTAACACAAATGATGTCATTATTAACTTCTTCATTAAATATTCATTTAAATATTGGTCAAAATTCAACAATGAATACATCTCAATCATTTATATCATTAGAAACTATATCAATTGAATCACTCAAAGACAGACTTGTGAAACAAGTTGAAAATGCTCAATTTAGTATTCCATCCAATTATATTTTGAACACAACATCTAATTCTTCAATTTCACTTCGAGTAATTTTCGATGATTTGAATCATTTTTATTTAGTTATTTTTGTTTTATTCAGTCCAAAATAGATCCACTTGCTTCATATGGAAATTTTCAAAATACAAATCTTTCAAGATCAATTTCACTTTCAATTATTGATCAAAATGGAAATGAAATTTCTTTTCAAGCTCATGAAAATAATCCAATACAATTGATGATTCCTCGTGATCCAAATGTATTAATTCCATCAATGTATTTACAAAATGTTACATCAATTAATTCAACTATTAATAATTTATTATTCAATTATCATTATATTAATATTACAACTTCTCTTCCTATTTCAGTTCATTTTGAAATTCATCCTTTAAGTTCAAATTTAGCATATTTATTTATTTATAAGTTTGATCAAACACCACAATTAAATAGTTCAATTAATCTCATTGATGGATGGACAATGTTTTGTCCTTTCAGTATGTTTTCTTTTCTTAAACATTCATATAGATTTCTTTTTTGTAATTATAGATTTAACCAATGATGATATATATCGATATTTTATTGATAATCAACAAACACCTGGTCATCAATCGTTAATATTTGGAATAAGAGAATTAAATTCAACAGAAATTAATAATTATTGTTTAAATAATTCTTCAATAAATACGTCTTTACCAGTAACCGATGAATCAATTAATTTTACATCAAATTATGAACTTCGTATATATACATCAGGTTGTTATTATCTTGATGAAAATAGTAATTGGAAATCAGATGGATTAATTGTAAGTATAAAATGGATTAAGAAAATAAAGAATATTTGATATTTATTTAACCGTAGGTTGGATCATTGACAAATCATTATGAAACTGAATGTTTATCAACTCACTTAACATCATTTGCTGGTGGTTTTATTGTTTTACCAGAACCAATTAATTGGAGTTATGTTTTTGCAAATGCTGATTTCTCGAAAAATAAAACTATTTATTTAACAATTATTTTTATGTCTATTGCTTATATTATTTTGATGATTTTTGGACGTTTTAAAGATAGAAAAGATATTGAAAAATTAGGAGTAACACCATTACCTGATAATGATAAATCTGATCAATATTATTATCAAATTATTGTTTTTACTGGTCAACGAGCAAATTCTGGAACACAATCAAAAGTAAAAAAGATGAATTTTATTTTGTAAATAAATCTTAATTCGATTAGGTTCATTTTATTCTCTCGAGCGATAATGATGAAACACGTGTTCGAACATTTTCAGATCCTCATAGAAAAGTATTTCAACGTGGCGGAATTGATTCATTTATTATGAGTGTTCCAAAGTAAAATTGTTTTATTTTTTTGAAGATTTTATAAAAGATTAACATATAGATCATTGGAATTATTAAACTATATTCGTATTTGGCATGATAATTCAGGAGAAGGTTCATCAGCATCATGGTTTCTAAAATATATTATTGTTCGAGATTTACAAACAATGGAAAAATTTTATTTTATTGCTCAACGGTGGTTTTCAGTCGAACAAGGAGATGGACTTGTAACTAGTTATTTGTTTCATTTCTTAATTTCTCTCATTGTTTAAATTTAGATTGAACGAATTTTACCCATTGCTGGTGAAATGGAAAAACAAAATTTTTCTTATGTATTATCGAAAAAAGCTTATTTTAGTATATCCGATGGTCATTTATGGTTTTCAATTTTCTCTCGACCACCATCAAATAAATTTACACGTGTTCAACGATGTACTTGTTGTTTTGTTTTATTATTTGCCTCAATGTTACTGAATATAATGTATTATGATTTATCTGCCCAAGCAAAATCGTCAAATAATACAGAAAGTAATAGTCTATCAATTGGTCCTCTTTATATAGCACCGGAACAAGTATGTATAATTTTATATCAAAAAGAGTTAAATCGGATGTATTTAAAGATGATCTTCATAGTCTATGAACTGTTGAGTTCAACTTTTGAGCATGACACTAAATTTCATAAAATAATCATTTTATTGAAAAGATTGTGATTTATTTAAGATTGGAATTGGTATAATGGTTGAATTATTCTCGTTAGTTCCAAGTATTTTCATAGTTCAATTCTTTCGACGTATTCGATCTCGTCGACAAATTTCACCATTACGTCAAGCATTAGAGAAAATACGATCATTACCACCCACGTTAGTGTAACTTAATATATTGTCTCTGATTTAATCATTTTATTTTTTTAGTGATTCAAAAGATAAAAATCTAATTAAAAACAAAAAAAAACAATTTACATTTCCTTGGTGGTGTTTATTTATTGCTTATACATTTTCTTTTATGATAATTGCTGTTTCAATGTTTTTTATCATTGTTAAAGGAATTATATTTGGTGATTTAAAAACTCAAAAATGGTTAACATCTGTTTTTACTGGCTTTTTCTCATCAATTATTCTTACTCAACCAATTAAAGTATATATTGAAATATTTCATTTACTTCAATGAATTTTCTTTTTTGAAGATTTTAGGCTTGGCAGTATTTTTTACTCTATTTTGTCGAAATCCAAATGATGATAAAGAAGCAAAAGAATATATAGATGAGACTAATTTCGAATTGGATGGTGATGAAGATTATCTTCATTCGACTGATTTTTCATTGATTTCAAATTCTTCAAAACGTATTACTCGTCTAAATGAAAATGAAGTAGCTTTTCTTCGTGAACAACGTTTAAAAGAACTTCAAATGTGGTCAATTATTCGAGAATTTATAATTTATGCAATATTTTTATTATTGCTTTGTATAATAACTTTTTTAAATCGTACACAAAATAGTTTTTATCAAACTGATCATTTACAAAAATATTTTTTAAATACAAGACAAACAGATTGTGATTATACACAAGTATATTTTGTTTTCTTTTGTTCTATATATATGACAATGAATATTTGTAGATTTTAACAATTGATGATTATTGGAATTGGTTAAATAATAGTTTTGTTGATAATCTTCGTGCTCAACAATGGTATAATGATGATCAACCGATAAATTTAAATGGATATATAAATGATAAAACAAATCGAATGATTGGTTGGGCAACAATGAGACAATTACGTAGTAAATCACAATTATGTTCTGATCAACGTATAATGCCAACATGTATAAATGATTATAGTTTATCTAATGAAGAAAAAGATTCATTTCAACTAGGATGGGTAATAAATCAAACATCAATAGAAGAAGAAGATTATAGTTCATCAATTCTAAAAGCATTTCAATATCAATCAAGTAAAGAATTAGATACATATGCTTATGTAGGTGATTATGGAACGTATAGTGGAGATGGTTATGTATATGAATTTCGTGGTCGTTTATCTGATATTAAAAGTAATTTATCTTTACTTCATCAATTACAATGGATTGATTCAAAGACAAGAGCTGTTATTATTCAATTAACTTTATATAATCCAAATGTTGCATTATATACTTCAGTTACCTTTCTTCTAGAATTTTTATCTGCAAGTGGAGTTTATCCATCCGCTCGTTTTGAACCACTTAATTTCTATGGTATGTGATTTTTTCTAAAACTGACTTTACATAGACAATTTTATTTTGCTTTAGTATTTACATCATTAACACAATTGATTTGTACAATTATTTATATATGTTTTATTATTTATTTTCTTATCATTGAAATGAAATTATTAATTAAATTAAAATTAAAATATTTTTATGAATTTTGGTCAATAATTCAAATTGGTATAATAAGTTGTTCAATAACAAGTATTATTATTTATATTTGGCGTTTTAAAGAATATAATCGTTTAAGTTCACTTTTTCTCAAAACAAATGGATATGTTTATATTAATTTACAAATGACAGTTTATGTCGATGATGTTTTAACATCTCTTCTTGGTTTTTGTTGTTTTTTTGGAATTATTAAATTTATTAAATTTATTCGATTTAATAAATCATTAAGAATATTTGTTCAAATACTTAAATATGTTACAAAAGACATTATTTCATTTTCATTTATGTTTTCAATTGTATTTATGTCCTTTGTTTCATTATTTTATTTATTATTTACATCAAGTATTGAATCATGTTCAAGTTTATTATCAACATCTCAAATGTTATTTGAAATAACATTAATGAAATTTGATGCAAGTGATTTTACTGGAGCTGATCCATTTCTTGGTCCATTTTGTTTTTCACTTTTTGTTATTATTGTTGTTTTCGTATGTTTAAGTATGTTTATTTCAATACTTAATGATGGTTTTCATCATGTTGAAGAAAATCCAATTGAAGATCCACACATTTTATCCTATATGTTAAAGAAATTTTTAAATTGGACACGTAAAATATTTTAAAGATTTAAATAAAAATTATTTATTTGATACTTTAGATTTAAGAAGACCAAATGTTGAAGAAATTTATGAAATACAAGACTCTCAAATGCATTCTCAATATGTTGATCCAATTGAAAATTTTCCTGATAAAATCGATCAATTATTAGAAGCAATCGATCGAGTATATTAAAATATAAGAATTTATTTTCATTTAAAAATTATTTATTTCTCTACTAATATTTTAGATTTATATCGATCAGAAAAAAGAATTATTAAAATTAAAAAGAGCTGGTGTTTAATTCTACTAATTTTCAATTATTATATATCGCACTCGGATTAGATTCATATTTATTATTTTATTGCTTTTGTTTAACTTGATTTAATCAACATATTATTTTTTTTTCGAATAAAACCATTGCTTTGTTTGTTGTATAATTAAACTTGAACTTGTGTTTATTGATAAAAGATTACAGTGTATAGATAGATATTGTTTGATACTGGATCATGAAGCTATAACAGATATTCAATAAAACACAAAAAAATTATGAATGTTTGTTACAGGATGCAGTGGAACTACCGAGAATAGATAATAAACCGATGTATTATGTTATCTACTTCACTCTCAGTGAAGGGTGTGGGCGTGGGTGAGGGTGCAGGTGTGGATGTGAGCAGGAAAGAAGGAGCAGTATTCTACACCCACATCCATAATCTCCTGAATCTTAGAGAAAATCGAGTCGTTCATACATCAAATAAACATACAATATATGATTTAGTGAAGTTTGAAATAATGTTTAAGAACAGAAAATTTCTGTACTAATAATTGATGGAGGTACTGTAATTTTCTATTCAAATCTGTATTTTTATAATATTTACGATCATCAGCAGTCTTTATTTATAAAGACAAATTTTATTTAAGTCATGACATCCAAGTTTTTCTACTTATTATTTCTAAACAATTTCTCTCAATTGTTTTTCTCCTAGGTTGAACATAATTAGAAGTTATTCAATAGAATAAGATAATAGTTTAATCAAGATAGTTTTGTTTTTAATTATAAATTCATAAAATGTTTATAATCATCTATCATTGTTGATATTATTCATAATATTAAGATAAAATTTTATTCTTAATTGAATTTATTATCTTTTGTTATATGAAAAAAGAAATATTAGATTTACAAGAAATAAAATATAATAAAATAAGAAATACTACGAAAAATCACGGATTTGTCTTTAGAATCAAGTTAATTTACAATCATTAACATTAGTAAGAACCATTACCATAATTTGTTTAAATATAACCATCACCAGGAATATCGTCTAGAGGACGACCAATGATGTTATCACGATTAAGATCAATATGAGTTGCCCTTTCTATTTTACCCTCTATACCTAAAGAATAATGAACAATGATATTATAAGATATAATAAAAATATTCATAAAGTATTTACCTTGTCCTCCAACATATCCATCATCATTAAGATCCAAACCAGTCTGTTTTTCTTCTCTTTTTTCAAGTTGATTGCTTATGAAATCTAATTAGAATATAAATAAAAACAGTTAGTTTATTTTTTCTTATTCACGTAAAAGATAGAAGATATAATTTTTTCAGCAAAAACTTACCCATAATTGTTGTT